TTTTATATTGACCTTCCAGCCATGTCTAACTAACATTACAGAAGTTGCAATGACATGGCACACATGCACTCATGTTACCATATCCAGCAGTATAAAACTGGCCTGTTTTCGATTTGTTCTAGTTCTACAGTATTTTGTAAAATACAGTCACATTTCGGTTATAATACATTACATATATTATTACTATTTACAAATAAGTTCTTAAATTTCAGTTTTTTAAAACATAGAACAGTAAATAAAGAAATAACGAAAACCATCATTTTTTTACTTTCAAACTTTGTACTCATTTGCCCACTTATTGTAATTTGCTAAGCCTTGTCAAATTTAACATGAGAAGGATGTAAAACAAAGTTTTATATATGCATTTTGAATACCACAAAAGTCCACTGTAATTAATGAGGCTTACTGAAACTAAACTGTATTTGGGCCAAAAAAATATTGTTTTTCAGACAACATTTTCACTTTCCCCCTCCTTCTGAGAATTGAGACAAATAAATAAATCTCAGAAACTTCCCACCTCCTAGAGGCTGAGAGAACCAAGTGCAGGACATTCTGAGCTTTTGATTGGTTATTCGCACGTCATAGACAGAAATATTGGTGTACATAAGCAATTATTTTCAAAAATGAAAGAAATGGGCTGGGACCCACTGTGTTTGATTCACTAAATATACTGATATCTTACCAAATAGAAAAGACAGGAGGTTCTTATTTTATTTTCTAGTTTGTCAATATCAATTATTTGAGTTTCTAATTCATAAGAAACTACAGACATTGTACTTGGACATCACAAACACCTAATCTGAACCAATGCTGTATTCAACATACCATGCGACACTTAAAAATTGATATATAGGAATCTTTTTTTAATATTTACTTTTAAATTAGGAAATTAACTAATGTATAATACTAAAATTTTAATTATAATGTACAATTTGATACGAAACTTATTGACATACATTCATAAAATAGTAGATCATTAAAATTTTGAATGCAAGTCTACAAACATGATTACATGCCCTTTGACCCCTGACCATGGGAAGACCCATAGAGACAGCCTGAAATGTAAGGTCGTATGTGCAAGTACACTAATAGTGATAAAAGAAACCATAACTGGGCATTTTTATCAAATCAAATCAAATTTTTTTTCAGCATTTATACAGTGGCAAACATGATGTCCCAATAACATGTCAATTAAAACTTATATTATGGCTAAGAATGGGATGAAAAATAATAAAAACATACTCAAATGCAGAATATTGTTAACATTTCTGCTTATTTAGTATTTTCATTCCAATTTTTACCTTAAAAAATAATAATTTATACACTTCAAAAAGACAATAGATCTTCTGTAATGAGGCACTGTTATAATCTCTCTCATTCTCAACCAACAGTTAAATAATGTTGGGACTGAGAGAGGCTCATAAATGTCTCAAACATACAAATGTTAAGATATATTTTAGCATAAATAATCTCTGTATGGAGATGATCCTTTGGTTGGGCATTTAGTTTAAAAAAAAATACTTGACTATATTTTCATACGAAATGTTTCAGGTATTAATAATCTTGTAATACAGAATATACAATAATGAACCTTCAGTAACATAAGAAAATAAAACTATGTTTGTGATTAAGCTGTATGTGCATGATCGCTGAACTAGTCAACATTATAAATGTTTAAAATATCCACCACTGTTATCCATGAAAGGAACCAGTCAACGTTATAAATGTTTGAAATATCCACCACTGTTATCCATGAAATGAATCAGTCAACATTATAAATGTTTCAAATATCCACCAATGTTATCCATGAAATAAACCAGTCAACATTATAAATGTTTGAAACATCCAGCACTGTTATCCATGAAAGGAACCAGTCAACATTATAAATGTTTGAAACATCCAGCACTGTTATCCATGAAATGAACCAGTCAACATTATAAATGTTCAAAATATCCACCACTGTTATCCATGAAATGTTAAGTTCCAAAGATCAAAGAGGTGACTATATCTCTTAAAAATGGAATTTTGTTTGAGATTTCAAACAAGTAAAACATGCAAACTTTGTTTATGAAATACTTATGTATGCTCCACTAATGTTATACTGTATAATAAACTCCCTCCTCTTTTACTGATCTCGATTTTCAAAAGTTAATCAGATCTAGAGCTTTGTAATATAGTAATCATTGTATAAGTTTGGTCAATATTCATTCATCCTGTATTGAAACGTCATGCCCACAAGGTTGGTGAAGATTTTCTATTTACCAGTGATCTTTTGATCTTTGATTTACTGAAGGTCAAATAACTAAAAAACTACCCCATGTGATACAGCAAAGCTAACTACAACATATGTTAAACAACATTTTGCTATGGATAATGATAATAATTAACATATTCTTGTGTGAAGTCAGATGTTGCATGACTGTACCACATGATGTCAGGTTTTTCAATGAAATAGTAGTTATTTAACCAAACATTCATTTCACCTTCTGCAAAAGTCCCTTACTTTGTTGATAAAACCATAATGTACAAGTTCTCCGGCTAAGGCACCGGACGTATCCTGGCTAGTTACTTCGCAGGACAGCTGACGGTGAATTTTGTCATCCATCTGTAGTAACAGGGTCATCTGGAATTATGAAAAAGGCAAAATAGAACAAATGAATGATTGACAACTAAACATAAATTTCAAAATTTCCACTTACTCCTGAAAATAAATAACAATAATAATAAGTACAGGTAAAAACTTATTGTTGTTTATTTTCAGGAGCGTAAAAACTTACTCCTAAAAATAAATAAAAATAACAATAAGTACAGGTAAAAACTTACTCCTGAAAATTAACAACGACAATAATAAGTATAAGTAAAAACTTACTCCTGAAAATAAACAACAATAATAATAAGTATATGTAAAAACTTACTCCTGAAAATAAATTATACTTATTATTATTGTTGGTAAAAACTTACTCCTGAAAATAAACAACAATAATAATAAGTATAGGTAAAAACTTACTCCTGAAAATAAACAACAATAATAATAAGTACAGGTAAAAATTTACTCCTGAAAATAAACAACAATTATAATAAGTACAGGTAAAAACCCAATATCACTGCCTAACAGATTTTCAGATGGAATAATAAAACATGTGCACTGGGATTGTGTTATGATGTGAAAGCATCATCATACAGATTGTTCTAAAAAAGGGGGAACACTCTTGGGTCTGTTTTAGTTCAGAATTTTATTTTATAACTAAACAATGTCTTGTTTACAAAGTAAAACATTCATGATGTTCTTGGTAACATACAAGTCACACAAGTTGCAATTAATCCCTTTAATTACTGTTTGTATCCCTCTAGGTATCTTACAGTTTTGTCAGTTCTTTACACTGAGTATTTTAACACAAACACACAAATAAATAAAAAATACTAAGTATGTGGATACCACCAGTAGTCAGTAGTATAAAAATAAAAGCTGGTAATTTTAGTGTTAAGGATGGTTTTGGAGAAAATAAAATGTTTTTGGGATTATATTAGAAGTGAAATGGTTTTCTCTGGGATAAGTTTAGAAAACAAACAAACAATTTTTATGATTATTTGGTTCCATTTTTGACAAACACTTTTGTTACATGGTGGTTTAAAGATTGGTTAAATTGATCAAGGCCAATACTTTTGATGATAGGGTAGAAAAATAACAGGTAAATTATAGTTTTTCTGAAATTCATTTAACTCTCTCCACACAGCCTTGGTCAAATTGACCGACCTTGTAACCACTTTGTACTTGTTATAGTTTCCATACTACCATTTTTAATACAATATGTGTATTTTCACAAAATTTGGCAACCTTTTAGTAAATATTACAAGTTTTGTGTACACAAAAAACCAGATTTTTTAATGAAGGATTTTTAATGAAGATTTGTCCATGAACATATCAAGTCTTTTTTTTTACTAGTCTGAGCATAAAGAGATTTTCGTGTTAAAATTAAAAATACTTTTCTTTCTCTCAAAAATCTCAAATTTCATTTACTTTACCTCTGAAACCTCCTAAATATACGTAAAACTTTTCTGTTTCAGTAAATCTAGAATATTTTATAAATTTTTCCTCTACCTCAACAATTTACCTGATTCTTCAGCCTGTAAACAAATCAAACTATAATGAAAAGTTGTAAAATTAGAAATAAAATGAACAGCTGTATCCTTTTTATTTTTTTCCCTTATTGGTCACAAAGTTTCAAAGTACTTCTCTCGAGAGTTTCAACTGCTAAACATTTCATATATATTTTGTGCGTTAATTTCACTGTCAATGACTAAAGTAGAAATCCACTGAGAATAAAGCAATAAATCACTGCTTGTGTCGCTAGACTATTTATGTGACACTGTAATACGATACTTTCACAGGCAACAAAGCATGCACGAAGAGATAGCCGATATGACCCCCTGCTCCGAGAATACGATGTTGAATGTATCGGATTATATACCCTAAAATGTTTATGCCAACAACAGGATGTGTAATTTATTAGCTTATGTATGTATCCTACAGTGTTTACAACAAGAATTCTCCAGAGTAATAACACTGCATTTAGTATCAGTGAAAATGTTTATGTCAACAACAGGATGTGTAATTTATCAGCTTATGTATGTATCCTACAGTGTTTACAACAAGAATTCTCCAGAGTAATAACACTGCACTTTAGAATCAGTAAAAATGTTTATTTGTGGTTTGGTGCCGATACAATAAACATTGCAATTTTTTGAATATTGGTAATCCTTATAGGGTGTTTGGAATTTAGTGTCTTAGGTATACAAAGATGTTATTTGAGTGCATGCTTATAAAATCCTATTTCCCTTTTCAGCAGACTTATTTGTCAACCAATAAAAACTCAGGTTTCAGTACTACTACCACACTCGTTTAGTTTCACAAGCCTTCTGAATTTTGAAGCTAAAGAGTACTTCAGCTGTTCACTTGCAGTTGTACAACACCTTCTTGAGTTCTTACTGACTTTTACCTCAAAATAAGTAATAATAATTTATAATATATACACAGAATATCTGTAAAATAAGTTGAGTATAAGGTTGTTGATCTAAATCTAGTGTAGTTGTTTTGGTATTCTAGAAATCTAGGACACACATCCCAGAATATATATATATAGTAAAGGAAAATAGTTTCAAAACTATTATTACAGTAATTACATTAGTTGTAAATAGGTAATTAAAATCAGCACTATAAAACAATAATGAATTTAATATAAATTAAGCCTTAAAATCACTTTTATTTTAAAATTCCATTGCAATTTTCTAGTCGTAACCTAAAAGGCATAATGGAAATTGTCTGTGGTGTTGGAGATATCCCATCTATCAGACAAAATCCAAACGCAGATTAAAAATTAGTTAGCAGTCGTGGAAAATGAATTAAGGGTGTGGAGTTTAGTGTTTATACCCACAACGTCTCAACTCGTACTGTCTTTTACTGTCTGCAGCCAGTTCTTCTAATATTAAAAGTATAAAAAATAATAAGACACCCTAAAAATATATCTACTAAAAGTTCTTCCCAACCTCCACCCTTAAAATTTCTAATAGTTCCTACAGTAGAAGAAGGACAATAAAACCACCATAAAAATTCTACAATAGAATACTCCCAACCTCCACCCTTTTCTAAAAAGATGACAAAAGTATTCAATAAAGTATAAAAGATCTTAAAATCTGCCTCAACTTTCTTTGTAGTTCATATTCCTCTTGTAAAGTTATTCAAGTATAGTATGGGATAGCTGAGACCAGCCCAGCTTAATATATACCTGAGAATATACATAATATTTAATGATACACAACAGAGAATATATGCATTATACATGTACTGTTCTTTTTCTTCTAAAAATGGAATGTAACACCATTGAGAAATAAAGCAAAAGAGTTGAAGAAGAAAAGAAAAAAAAACTGTGAGGAAGAGATCCAGTTTCTGTTACATGTGTTGTTCTTGACTGAGGAAGAAGGGATTCTGTCAGAAGAGTCTGATGTTGAGAAAGTTTCTGATAATGTTTCAATGCCTCTGACAGAATCTCTCTACAAAACCTATAAACAGCTCTTCTGGATTCTGACATATGGACAGATGAGGAACTAGCTAGTGAAAGATCATCAGATTAGGATGTTGTGGAATCACCTAGACCAGGTACGTCAAGGCAACCTGCACCACAGAGAAGAAGCAGGACTAAGAAGTAGGGGTAGGGATAGAGTTACAGTATCTACCAGGAGAGGCTTCTCACCTGCAGTGACATCTGGGTGCAGATCACTGAAGAGGAACTTCTCCATTTATTTCCATTCAATAGAGGTGAACCTGTGTCCCGACAGATCACTGAAGAGGAACTTCTCCATTTATTTCCATTCAATAGAGGTGAACCTGTGTCCCGACAGATCACCAAAGGGAACTTCTCCATTTATTTCCATTCAATAGAGGTGAACCTGTGTCCCGACAGATCACCAAAGGGGAACTTCTCCATTTATTTCCATTCAGTAGAGGTGAACCTGTGTCCCGACAGATCACCTCTACAAATAAAGTTATTGGTTTTTGAAAACTTTTATTTACTATTGAAGCTTTAAACCACATTGTTATTGAAACAAATCGATATGCACAGTCTAAATAGCCACAGCAAGAAGGTGAACCACCTAGGAAAATAAAACAGTATAATGGACTGATGTGACTTGTGAAAATATTTTAGCATAATTGGGATTAACAATAGCTATGGGACTCGAGCTTTATCCTTCTCTTTCTGACTACTGGTCTACATATCTTTCTTTCATACTCCTTGGTTCTCTAATATCTTCTCTAGGGAAAGGTTTTTAGCTATCCATACTAAATTATGTTTCAATAACAATATTAATATTCTTCCTAGAACTGACCCTAACTGTTACAAACTTTTTAAGGTTAGACCTATCATAAAATCTTTTGTTTCCCACTACTTTCCTAACAAGGAACTAACTATAGATGAGCAGGTGTTAGGGAAAGAAACCTGTCAAATGGGGTATCAAGTTGTGGGTCCCGGAAGTAGCTATGAGTGGATACTGTCTGAATGGCAGCTAGAGGTTTAGCAGACAATGCTGTAATGGAACTGATGGACAAATTTTACACTTCCCCTACTTTAATTGACAAACTACTGTCTATGGAACCTATGCTTGTGGGACATGCAGGAAAGACAGACTGTATTTCCCACAATAACTGGTTTCTACAAAGCTATAGAGGGGGAGCATGAATTTTTAAACGTGGAACTGGGACAGCTGTGAAGTGGAATGACAAACGAGACATTTATGCACTTCCAACTATATACTCTAGTACTATGACAACAGTGACAAGAAGAGGGTGGGATGTTGAGGTTACAAAACCTCAGTTGATTGTGGACTATAATAAGTTTATGGAAGGGGTGGACCTGAATGACCAGCACGTAAGTTAATATTCTACTGAACGAAAGACAATAAAATGGTATAAAAAACTGTTTTTTTCAACTTTTGGACAGTTGTAAATGCTTACATTCTGCACAAACAACAAACCAATCAGCTGAAATTATCCGAGAAGGCCATCAAAATGGACCTGGTCACAGCTCTTGTTAGACGTCTACTTCAAAACAGACCAGGTCCTTCTGGTATACTCTTTGTGACGATTTCCTCTGTGTGAAACACTATCATACTAGCGATACTCTTCAAAGAAATTAAGATTTTATGTATGTATACAAGGTAAGTGTCTGCTCTTTTCCTTTGTTTACAATTAGTTTTCTTTTATTTTAACAAATATCTTAGTAGCATTTTTGATTGTTTGTATTTGGATGTACGGCAATGTTTCAGTTTTACATTGTTTTGACTGAAGTATTTCTGTAAAGTTTTTTTTTAGTATTCATACACTGCTATATATAGTACTGATGCTACCTTTCATGTGTCAAAATCAGTTTATGTTATATATGCTATCATAAGCATGACTTTCACAGTTTTCCAGAACGTTTCTAGTGAAATGCATATGTATATATAAATTTCCATTCAAATATACAATTTTTTTATGTACACAACTTTATGTATTTGTTTTTGATTCATGCAGTTTGTATGTATACTATTCCTGTTAGACATGTATAAACATTACTTCCTTGACACTTGTAAAATATTTTACCTTTCTAAATGTTATAAATAAACCTGTTTTAAGTGTGTGTGTGTGTGTGTGTG